ACTTGTAATTTAAAATTTTCTTTTTTCGTTGGTAAAAAGATATCGTATCATTAAAAAAAAAAAAGAAAAAACCCAAAATATCATATTATGAGATTGGCAATAGCATACGTACACTACAAGACAAGTTTTGAAAAATGCGTGACGCGATTATCCAAAAAAAAACAAAACAAAACAAAAAAACACGTGGTGCGTAAGGAGTTACTGTTGACCGTAACCGTTATTGGGCCGAAAAGCCCACGTGACGGTTAGTCGACAAGACATTCCCGCGGACAGTGGCACTGGGCCAGTGACATGGCAGCTCATTTTCTTTTCAACTTTCTGTTGTATTTTTGTTTTTCCTTTTTGTTTTTTGTTTTTTCTTTTTTTCCTGCTCTGGCTTCATCTGTACAAATTACGCATACATTATGCATGAAAAACGAGTGATTAAGATGTTTTTATATGTACATGTATATTTCATTCTAAATGTGTAAAATCTCAAAAAAAAAGACAATTATGGGTACACATGCAAAAAACGTGACAAGATTTTAAGTAGACATTAATAAACTTATTACGAAATAAAAGTGCAAATATATGAGGTTAATATAACGCAGATCCTTCTCTTAAATTTCTTTGAGGATGAGTAATGATAGGAAAGAAGAAAATTTGAGGCAAAAATTTGAAATCAATAATGTAATATAAATTATATAATTAAATTAATTAAAACATTTAATATCATAAGTTTAAAAAAAAAATCAACCATTAAATAATATAATATCTATTTTTTAATATTTTAAATGATGTGACTTATGCAATGTCATTAGTTTTAAATTTTTATTTTAAATTTTAGTTCCATTCATCATTATTCTTTGAGGGTACATTTAAAACCTCACATTGTAACTAATATTTTCAAAAACTAATTATTAAATTAAATATTCTATTCATATAAATAATATATGTCAATTTTTAAATTAGTCTAATATTTATAACCTTATAATTAAAAAAAACTTTATTTATTAATATATATTTACGATATAAAATTGTGTGTAATTAATAAACTATTAGGCCTATTAGATCAATATGAAAATTAACATACATAATTTACATTAATAAAACTTTCAATTAATCTAAAAATTAATTTTTTTTAAATATAAATTAAAATATGATGGATGTGGAACTTTTGTACTTATTTTAAAATTTGAAAAATATAAAACCCTCTAAACTCTCTCTTGAATCTTTGATTATCTATTTATCATTATTTTATTGACTTTAACTTGCTCATTATGTTTGTAAATGCAATCGTTAATTAATTATATGGTCATTTTTTGTCACTAGTCACTATGCTATGCCAAAACGTTGAGTTAGGCGACTAAACTTGATTTTTGTTCGTTATGGTACACATACTTGGATAATGCACATTTATGGTCCCTGTGGCGATTGCCCGCCTGTCCAAACTGCCTTTCTTCTTCATTTTTGTCATTCAAAGATATTTTTTTTTTTTGAACGGTTTACAATTTTTTAGGAAGGGGAATGAGAATTTTCAAAACATCGATTAACTTAATCCAAACACTTAAAAATTTGGGAGCAAACCATTTAGGCCGAAAACCCAGTTCGTCATTCAAAGATAATTGTTTGAGCCTTTATCCTTAACTTTAATGCTGTGTTTTTGAGTTAATTGGTACTAACTAGAAAAAGGCAATGTAAAAATAATTCAATATTAGATAGTTGTTGCATCCTATACATATGTATTTTGATGAATGCACCTTATACATATGATTCAAGTAAGTTTAAAAAAAGGAATAGTATGGGAACTAAGAAATGAATCTAAATTCACTCACAGGCTCATAAATTCCAGCCTTCCAGGCTCTAAATGACTGAATTTCATTGGACCATACCACGACCATCCCAAATTGCTTCTTCCATCAAAACAAGACCATTTTGACCATACAATTGACTCAAAATTTGAAATCAGGCCTTATTATGTGGCCTGTCGGCCCTTTCCTAGAGATTATGTGATACAAACACAAATGGGCTTCGGTTCCATTCATTACCACAAAACACAAAACCAGGCCTGTTTCTTGTAAATGTATTCTTTCCTCCACAAATTTCTCATTTTCAGAAAAAATAATAATAAAAATGTCTTCAAAGATTTTAAACTCTGTCTGACTTAATTGTTAGAAACAATTTATAGTTATAGTTGTTGGTTGTTACTTAATCGCTAGAAAATCAGCTTATAGAGTAGAGACTGATGTTTATGAACATACAAACTGACTATTTTAAGAAAAAAAATTTTTATAAATTGATAACATTAGTTAAGCTATATATACTTTTAATCACTTAAATTAAAAACACATTCCTTAACCCCAAATATCAGTATTCATATTTCCAAATTTATGCATGAATTCCAACAGCAAATTTTACAATTTTCTTTAAAAGAAAATTTCAATAAGGCCTTTCACCAACATAATTCCCAGGAGGATCATAATTGCAAATAATGAACACCCCTCTTCCCGCAGTGCAAGTCACCCTCGCACACCCCATCCTCTTAGTACTGCCCCATACAATCTGAGTATAATGCCCGCACTCCTCCCCTCCAGCGCACGAATTAGACCAGTAATTGTACCATTTCCTCTCCAATACCCACGCCGCCACTGCCTGGGCCGGACTCCAGTCATTTCCACTCCCCCAGAAAATATTCTCCCCGTAAGGCCCGTTAGAATGCCTCAAAGCGCAGTCATTTCGTCGCTGGTTCGCGTACCACCGCGCGTACCGTGCCAACTTCTCGTCCCACACCAATGGACGCATCCTAACCGTGTAGCGGGCGGCGTTCTGCGGAGCCAAAAACTGGTTAATGAACCCCAGGTAGCCTCCTCGTCCTGTGAGGGCATGGGTGGTGGTGATGATGAGCAAGAAAAAAACGGCAATGGCGCTGCGGCAGCTGGCATTCATTGGGGAGGCACTGAGAAATTTTCTTTAGGGAACTTGTGTGTTTTTTACAGGGTCAATGTAACAAAGGACATGATTATGAATTTTTGTAGTAGTTAGAATAGATAGGACATAAAGTGTCAACTATGGGGTGGCAAGCATGTTCGAATATAATTGCGACTCTTTGTCTTTGTGGTGGGACCAGAAAAAAACGTCAAATTTCATTTTCACAAATTTTTACATGGCCAAAAAATTTCCACATAAATTTGCTTTTCTAGGATAACATAATTATGGACCCACGCCACCATTTATTTTCACTAAAAAAAGTCGTCTTCTATGACAGCTTTTATTACAATAATCAACGCTAAATTATATTAAAATAATATTTACGATATTTTTTACTTTAAGAAAAGCAACACAATTGAAAGGATTTTATTATTATTATTTATTTATTTATTTATTATTATTTTTTTTAGTGTTTGGGGGTAAAGGACACTCAGAATGACAAGAAATAGGGTGTGTAAGGTATTGAGGACAGCATTTTTTTAATGTTCTTTGAACAGGGGTCTCTTGTTAGTTTAGGATAGATTATAGACTTGTTTAAAGTTCCAATTCTCGTGGAATTAAAATAATGTGGTGTTTAAGCTGATTATTTTTATATGAAATTGCTGCAAAATCTAATTCAAATGAATCCAATCAAAATCTAGAGGTCACTTATCCCTTTACTAATAGTTAAATAATTTTCAAATCAGTTTATATATGCATATGTAATTTTTTTTTT